TTATTGATTTCACAGAGAACAGGTTGAAATCCGGCTGCGAATCAGTTTGAGCATTTTCACTGGTAGAGTGGTTCATTGGTTGGGTTAGGTAGTCTTGGTGAGAGTTAACATAGTGCTTTCTTTGGTTGCCGTACTGTCTTGACTGGCTAGATTTAGCAACAGACGAAGACTTTGCAAAGCAGGCCTTGGCAATGTGACCTTGCTTACTGCACTTATAACAAGTTGCTAACTTGAACTTGCATCGATTAGATGCATGGGGACCTTTGCATCGATGACATTTTTGATAATTATTACTAGATTTAGATCTAGGCTTTGAACGTGCAGGCTGTTTAGCATAAGTTGAAATGCTATGATGGGGTTGGTGTTTGTTGACTAACCTGCTGTTTACTGCATGGATCTCTGAGGGTGTTAGAGATCTCGCCGCATCAGATGACTGCTGGAATGAAGTTGCGAGTTGTATTGCTTTTTCTAATGTTAGATCTGACTCGAGAAGCAACTTTCTTTGAACATCAGGGCTGTTTACACCTGTCACAAACTTTTCACATAGTCTGTCAGACAGCGTGTCTCCGAATTCACAGAATCTACTTAAATGACGTAAAGCAGCAACGTATTCTGATATTGACTCGTTTGGTTGACGAGCCCTACCGTCAAATCTGGCTCTAGACAGGAACTTTGATGGGGCGGGCGCATGGTGGTCTGTTAGCAATTTGCTCAGCTCGTTAAAGCTCTTGGTATCTGGACTAGCTGGTGCGCATAAGTCCTTTAGTAGCCTAAATTGTTGAGGCCCTATAACTGTTAACAAAACAGCTCTCTTTTTGGCTTCTATCGTCACGTCGTTAGCTTCAAGGTAAAAGCTTAACCTATCTAGATAATCATGAATGGTTTCATCATTCGAATCAAATTCTTTTATTTGGCCATACAGCGCCATTATTCTAGAAATACTTAGCCAATATGCTCTAGCAAACCTCTTTTTGAGTAAGTATGTGCTCTTTCTAGTGGATCATTTATCCTCGTCGCCAGATGTAATGGATTGACGATAGAAGCATGTGGTTGTATATAAAACGTTTATTGGCCTTCAACTACATGATGGAACGAGAGAGGGCGGAAGTGACGAGAGACAAAGATATATATACATGTAAGGGACATCACTCAAGATAACAGTATAAATATAACACTAATACAAGAAGAGTGAGTTCCCTTGACTTCACAAGTCTCACTATATTACATCGGGAACGTGACACGGGCCCTGATTTCGGATTGACGGACATGCGCTCTACGTTTCGACCACGACATCCTATAAAATTTCAAGTCAGTAACAGCTGTAAACATCATGTACATCATACATTTAAACTTCAGCGCTCGCTTTTAAGCAACAGATCTTCACTGTTAAGGGCTCGATCTATTTATGAATTGTAGTTAGTGTATGAACAAGTTTTTCATTCCGGCATTTATACAAGGTTATAGTGTTAGTGGAGGTGGTTATACGAATATTTGTCTGAAGCCAACATGTTGGAGTCATTTTGTCGGGAGCCTATATGTCGCGAGACATTATGACGGCAGCCCATTTGTCTGGAGCCAATATGTCTGTTTGTCGGGGCTACTTTGACTGGGTCGTTTTGTCGGCGTCATATTGACGGGGCCGTTTTGTCCTGCGCCATTTTGACGGTGCACCCCCACCGGCATAGCTCTGGGGGTAGCTGGGGCACCCAAGCCATCCCACCACTTCGAGGCGGTGTGCCATCAGCAGTTTCTTCCAGGCATCTCTACCGCCGCCCCCCCCCCCCCGAACGACATAGAATTTACATAGAAAACATATACTTTTACCAGTGTCTCCGCCCCCCCCCCCCCCCCGAGAAAAAAGCCTTAAAGAAACCCTGGCCATCAGAATGGCCTATACAATTTTTGGTAGATCTTAAATATTTTCGATGCTGGCCAAACCATTCTAGTTAATCCATAAGTAAAAAGTATGTTTATTTAGGTAAAGTTGGCCGATCATAAACGTGAAACTGAAATCTTTAGCCTAGGTCGGCTCACTAAAGTTGTTTTAAATTTCAAAATTTTGAATGTCTTGTGAACGACAATTTTACGCTCTTAAAATCGTAATGCAAGAATTTGCAATAATAAAACTGCAGAGCAGGTCAGCAAATCTTCAACAAGATGCCAAAGATGAAATCATCACATAAAACATGTACAGCACAATCGTCTCTGAACAAATTGCTTGATACAATGGTTGCCTTGCGAGTTACCTTTCAGTAAAGAGCTTGCCACACAACTTTGATAAAACTAATAAATAATTGTGGGCAAAGATAGGTACACTTTTATTTTTATATACAAGACGCCCTGCATTATTACTTTCTCGTATATACGAAGTATAGAGAAAGTCTTGTAATCGTGCAAAAAAAAAAATCGAGATTTTTGCAAATCTCGACGTTTTACATCTCACTGATCCGGAAAAACATAATTTTGCAATCTTGTCCGTATGTCTGTGTGTCCGTGTGTGTGTGTGTGTGTGTGTGTGTGTGTGTGTGTCCGTGTGTAAACACGATAACTTGAGTACCGTTACAGCTAGGTTGATGAAATTTCATATACAAGTATTATATCAAAATCGTAGATCCGTATCAACTTTTGAGCGATTTCGGATAACCGGAAGTGGTACTTTTTCTACTTTGAATTTTTCAAAAGCCTATAACTTGAGTACTATTTCAGATAGATAAATGAAATTTCACATGTAAGTAAAAGATCTAATTCTCTACCTTCTGTTAAATTTTGAGTAATTTCCGTTGACCGGAAGTAGTACTTTACGCTACTTCCGATTTCTCAAAAAACTAATGTAAATTTATAAAGTACTAATACTATTGCGCACTATTGTACACACCTTTATTAGGCGTTCGCTTGGTGCGCAATTGTTTTTTACTGAGATTCTATTCTATTTTAAAAAGTTTCAGTATTTAAAATGGATTAAAAATCATAACTATATCCCCAGTTACCATCCCCTGTTGTTTTATATAAGAATATTCGAGAAAGTTTAGGGGAGATCACTACCGGTTTATTTTTTTGCTAGGGCCCAGAGACGTAGCGACCCCTCCCGGCGCCCGGGGACAAACTTTCGATTTGCGCCCCCCCCCCTCGAACTTTTCATTTGCACCCCCCCTCAAACTTTCAATTTGGCGCCCCCCTAAGGTCGGCGCCCGGGGACATCCCCCCCCCCCCCGCTACGCCTCTGCTAGGGCCGCAGACGATGCGCTTTTTATGACTATTATTGCACCGTTTATCCCAGTAAACATTCACTGGGGGCAAAAGGGATGTAATATGAAACTATTTTTTACATTCTAACAAGTGGAAGACATTAACATATAGCAAAGATCACAACTGTACACACACATCAACACATTAGTGCTAAACTTATTGTTTTCGTAACCAATTTTCTACTGTTCTTAGGTTTTTATTATCAGTCTGGTCAGTGGCGTGGTCGGGTTTCACCCGGTGCGGCACTTAATGGTGTCACCCCCAGAGGCGTAGCGACCCTTCCCGGGGACAAACTTTCAAATTTTCGATTTGCACCCTCCTCAAACTTTCGATTTGCACCCCTCCTTATGTTTTTCTCTATATATTTTGCTATTTTTTGCCTTGGTGTCACCCCCCCCCTAAATGGTGTCACCCAGTGCGGTCCGCACCCCCCGCCGCCCCCCTCGCTACGCCCCTGAGTCTGGTGACACATTGTGTGCCCCATCTTTGTGTCACTTAGGCTTTTTGTTTCTAGTATGTCTCTTACAGAATTTCAGATCTTATACACCACTCTAGCTATTCCTCTAAGCTCAGTAAAGATGAAATACCATTTGAACTTGCTTTGACAACCTTCGCCTCTGTCCCACTATTAAATATGGCTTATAGAAAGACTAATTCAACCTTATCTGCATGAGTTGCTACTTACTACTAGAGATCAAAGTCGCCAAGCTCTTATCACCAAATTCAAGAATTAGAGTTTATGTACATTTTGTCTTCCCAGCTCTGATGGGTATCTAACTCATGTTAGGGAAAGTAAAGGTAGCTGGGCAGAGTGCAGATTTCGCCCCCCCCCCCCCATAAAATTTATATAATTTATATAGAAAATATATACTTTTAACAGTGTCTGCCCCCCCCCCCTGGAGAAAAAAGTCTGGAAGAAACACAGGCAGAGTGCTGACCACAACTTCCCTTCATATACAAGAAACATGAACTCTACCCAAAAGATCTCTTAGTCTAAAGAGGATTCTTTTTTACCTAATGTTCCAGTCAAAGGTGAAAACCAACCATAAAACTTTCACACTTCACATTTTAACTTTATGTAGGAGCTCTTGGTTTAGTTCAAGCATTTTTTAAAAGACCAAAAGGCAGGTCTGGGATGAAATGGATGGATGTAGAGATAACTACTGCAGATTTTTCAGGATATGGAAGATGAAAACAGACGTCTGAGAGGAAGACTAAGGTGGTGAGGCAGGCCAAGCCCCCCCCTCCCCGGGGCTACGAAGTCACAGGATGGATCGATTTAGATTTTTTTAAACTACCATGCTGTAGCAGCTTTCAATAAGTCTGTTATAACTTTCAATTCCAAACCCTGAAAACTGGCCTCAACCCTGGGTTTAGCATTTTGTTTCATTACACTTTTTAAAAATTAGTGATATTCTGTCTGCCATGAATAATCTTATCAAAATAAACATAAAACTTTTTTTCTAAACAATTTGTTAAAAGTTCCTTTTCTGCTAATTAGTAATATTAACAATCATATAAGAATTTTTTGGATTCTCATAAAAATTGCAAAGATTTGAAAAATTCATGCTGCAACTTTCTAAACTTGTAAGCTTTAAGTCTAGAGATTTTTAAAAATGTTGAGATTTCACAGATCCACCTTTTGATTAATGTAGACATAAGGCAGAATGGCAAATTTTTCATTAATTCTTCAGAAACATTTTTTACAATAAAACTTATACTTATACTCCCATGAATTGTAAAAAACACAAAACAAGGGTTTAGAAATTTAATCACAATAAAATACCAGCATTTTACAAAAATGAAACCAGTTCTATTTATTTACACCAATGTGAATGATGAGTCCACTTCCAAAGAGCTTTAAAGTATCTGGAAATAATTAAAAAAGCATTAAAACAAGCTCTGATAATTAAGGATCTTTTTACACAATATCAATACTAATAAACTGTTGACTACTTTCAGTTATCAATATATTACCTATGCTGCAACACTTGGTGCATAATTTCTCAGAAGCCTATCAAATTCAGATTCCTGAAAAAGAACCAACAAAGTGACTATGCAGACATTATACATATTTTAATTAAAAAGTTTGTTTACCAAGAGGTGCAAGCTGGATTTTTGGCAAATGTAGTCTGTAAAAACTACCAGTTTTATTATTAGTTTGCTCTGCTCCTTCCATGCAACTCTCAAGTAAATAAAGTTTGAATGATCTCTTAACTTATATAACAGTAAGGGAGATGGCACTTACAATACAGTGCAATCAGGCTATAGACATTTTTAATACATTTTCTAATACTTTAATAGGATTAGCGCACCAAATGAAAGCAAACGATGTGTGTATAATAGAGTAAAAAATCAGTACTTTTTAATGGAAACATTGATTAATTTTTAAAATGTTAATTAAACATCTAATTAAGTCACATTTTATGTCACAGTGCATTGCCATTGGCCTCAGAGAAGAGTTTGAAAGAAATCTGGTGGATTTCTTTTTTGAGAAATCGGAAACATCATAAAGAACTACTTCTGGTATTTGAAAATCACCGAAACTTTGATACAACAGGATATCGCCCACAAGTCAACCAGACTGTTTACCTACACACACACAGACAAGAGTGTAAAAATAAGTTTTCACTCAGCTATAGTATATTATTATACATTCTCTTGGAGATTTAAATTATTTCCCACTTGGGTTTAACCAGATTTAAGTTCCACAAGACTTCTATGTTGTACCTTAACACTGGTAATTGAGAACTAGAATAAGTGCTAGGAGCTGGTTTTACTGTAATGGTATCAACACGGTCTATTATCAATATGGGATGAGCTAGAGTGTTAAGACTGCAAACCCAAAAGTCTCGAGTTCAAATCTGGGTTCAAGTCAGTAGAATGTCCCTCAGTTCACCTAGCTTTGATGGCCTACCTAACTCAAGTTATGGAAGGTAAAGGCAGCTGGCGTAGTGCTGACCACACTAACCCTTCATATGCTGAGGTCACAGAAACAAGTGAACTCTGCTTCACTTGCCCCATGGACCGTCAGGTTTAAAAAGGGAACTTTTAATACTTGAGCTGTAAAAAAAATCGAATTGTCTAACTAATGATCTAAAACACCACTAAAAATCTCACCTTTTGTAAGTAATCACGAACAAAGGGATGACTTCTATGCGAATCTTTCAACTGAGAAATGTACCTATTGCTAACCTGTCAAAAAATTTGTAAATACTGAACAACTTGGCTAATTTGAAATTTTGTAACTAAATAAAGCAATAAATAACAATAGAGCTAATAGAAATAGCTTCTTGTGTCTGTACAATAAGCAAGTAATGGTCTCACCTCTGGTGCCTTGCCTAAATGCTGACTTAGAACGATCATATTGATGATTGTCTCAGCATTATTGCTGTCCTAAAGATTAAATTATAACAAACTGAATGCCTTAGTTTTACCATATATATATTTTTTTGTTATTTAGTTTGTACTATAAATAAAAATGTTCAATTAAAATATAAAGATCAAAGCTTAAAGGCTTGGTGCTACACAATTTTGAGCATTAGGATGTCAAACATTGATTTTCAGTTAAGCCTTTTCAAAATGTATACATTTTTCTAAGTACAAACACGCACTTATATAAGAAAATGGTAATGTTATATTTTTTTTTTTAAATTTTAATGCCTGAGTGGGTATTTATTTCAAGCCTTGTTTTTCAAAAATACATTCAATATCGCATATGTTTGAGAAAATATAAAAACAAATAAAATTAAAACATGTGCCAGCATGTTCTATGTTAGCAGAAAAGCTATTTTTCTGGCGTATGACGACAAGTAATTTCAGACCAGAGGAAATTTTTTTTCAATGTCCATACTCCAATACCTAAGTAAAATTTTATAGCCTGACCTTGAAGTTAGCTGTGTTAAACCTTCTGAAAAGCTAGCTAATTTTAGATCTAACACTTTTTAAATTGTTTATTCAATTGTTGGTTCTTTGACAGAAATATAGCTCTGCATAAGTCTTAAGTTTTTGTTTGTTTACAACTTATGGTTATTGAACTACAGTCCTTCAAAAATCATAAACTGAAATATAATCATTACAGACATGCCTACCCCTCTCAGCCAAAAGTAGGAACAGTCATGCCTAAATGGAGGAATTTGTAGCCAAAAAGAGGAACATACTTTACTAAGTCAAAAATAAAAATAATTAAAAATTACTCTAAAAATATAACTAGTCTCTAGGCTACTTTTAAATACTGCTTAATGTCAGCTTACATTAAAAAAAAAAAATTAACCAGTAACCTGAGCCCCCCCCCCCCAATAAAAAAAACCATAGCTTTGACATAACATTATTGATTTGATTATTTATGCCTAGCTATGTTCTAGGCTATATGAATAACAAATGCTGAAGGCTTCATCATGTAATATAATAAATAATAATCTAGTATCTAGAAATTCTAGGTCTAGAAATTAGCATGTTAGTCATGATTTTATTGCAAATACTAAAAAGAACGTTCAGTAGCTAGATTGTCCACATTATCTATTAGTAGAAGATGTAGATCTAGTCTAGCAAAATCTAGTATAGATGATACTTGTAAACATTGTAAGTAAACTAGGAAACGAAAACGTATGCCAAAGGGAGATAATCGATTTTCCCTGCCTTTTTTCAATTCACTTTTCTTTATTAATTATTTTTAAAAAAAAATCGAAACAAACTGAGTAAAAATTAGAATGACAGAACAAATTACTTTTTTAGGTGAAAAAGCCGGACGGTTCCGATTATGGCGGGACGGTAGGCATGTCTGTCATTACCACTACAACTAAACATTAATTTCCATTTTGAAACGGTTTTCTAAAATACTTTTAAATTAAGCAGAGATGTGACCAGAACATATACAATTTTTAAGAAATGATCAATTTCTAGGCAACTTTTCTCTTCCAATTTAATAGTTCAATAAGAAATGTTTACAATGTCCATGAGGTTTGATAGGCTGCTATTTAATTAATCTCCTATAATAATTGTAACAAACTAATATAGGCCTACTCTAATGAGTAGACTTTTTCCAATTGGTAATCATATCCCTGTGTCAAGTCTAATGCCTTTGCTCCTACTATCCTAACCTTCTAGATGTATAATGTCAACAAAAAATGACACTCAACATATTATTCAAAATTAGCCTTCAATAGTATATGCTGATAAATCAGAAAAGCTGAAATTAGACATGGCCTACTATTTATTATCAATAAATTGTGTTTTGGAAAATACAAAAAATTTGAATCAACTACAATCATTCTGATGGTAGCCATTTCATTATTAGTGATTTTATAGACTTCATTTGCTATTAAAAATAACTGATATTGAGTTTTTTTAAACCTAACATGGTCAAGGGATCACTGAGTATGTTTTAAGTTTTAAAAAGTTGACCCTTAGTCATAGTATGAGAAATTGCAGGTGAAGCATTAAACATATTCCCAGGATGGGGGTGCCATGGTACGTTTTCATAAGCTAAAAAATTAGCGAGAAGGAAGGGTGGGTTGGACCTGTAACACTCAATTTTTTCAAAAATTTAAACATTCATTAGGGGTTTAAAAATAAAAAAAAAACCAAAGGAGCAGGAAATGCAAATTAATTTAAGAACAGCAGCTTTTAAACATCTTAAAGTGTAAAAAATATAGCAGCATTAAGTTCATAAAGTTTGTTACTTAAATTTAAATTTGCTACAAAATGTGAAAAGCTGCTAAAGGAAGAATTAAAAGAGGTCTAAACTATCAGCTAAAAATTCAGAGAAGAGATGAAACACAACAACTGAAATTTTATAAACCTACTTTGTCCATAGACTCTTGCAACACTGATTCAGCATCATCAAACCGGCCTTGAGCCATGTAGCAAGCAGCCTGTCCATTCAACAGTAATGGCGTGCTTGTGTGCTTGTCTGCAATTTCTTGGAAAATGTAATAAGCATCTTGATATTTATCACCTCCCTATATAAAATCAGATTAGAAAATTTTAAAATAATATAATGAAATTTAAAATAAAATTTAAAATAATATAATAAAATAAAACTCACATGAAACTAATATGCTAAATAAACTATCAGTACAAAAAATTAAGTTTTAGTGTCATACTTATATCATATCATTCAAATAAAATGCTTACAATGTAAAGATTAAACCATGCTTGGGCCAATTGAAAAAGTATGTTGTCTTCATCAGCATCCTGCATTCTCTTTAATTCTTTTCTGTAAACAATAAGCATAACAAAAAAAAATAATAATTTAAATTACATCTTGTTCAAATCATAAATGATTATTCTAAACTATTTTCAAAGCAAAAACTCACTTGGCTAAATCAACACGATCCATCTTCAGTAAAGTCTGTACCATCAATGCCATGCTATATTAAAAAGTAAAAAAAAATAATTGTATAACAAAAAATATCTAAAACAATTTTTTCAAATATCATATCTAAATAGAATTATTTCCCCTACCATTCTAAATTGTCAGACTGATGCAGAGTTCTAAGTGTTGAATCATAATTCTGAAATTTTAAAAATGAAAATACATAAACCTACAAGTTTAATGTACCCATATTTCCTTTTTTAAATAAATAAATAAAATTATTAGAAATATTTACAAAGCTTTATACTGTGTTTACAGAAAGGATGCGTGAAATTAGTTATGTGGATACTTTCATGTAATTTGTAGAAGTAGCAGAAAATGTACAAAAATAAAAACCAAAAGTAGTTATGTAGCATTGTCCCATATACCAACCCCTTACTCTATATAACAGAATATAACAAACTGATAACAATCCCCTGTATCCCAGTCATCATATATTGATATACAATGTGTGCTCTGGTCATAAGCTACTAAAGTAAACTGTAGGCTACCTGTTCATGATAATACACAGATCCTGCCATTAGTAGAAAGGTACTGTTGGTAAGGTCCACATTTCCACTCATTTTAGAATCCAATTCTTTCACTATTGCATCTCTAAAATAAAAGGTTTTATTTGTTAGTAAACTCATGTGGCAATTTCAAACAATATAATGGTAATATAATTATACTGCTATAAATCAGCACATCTTGAAATTTTTTTCCAGTTTGATAATGTAAAGCACTTAGTGCTTGAATAATTTTCAAATTAAGTTCAAATAATTTTGGACTACTTCTGTTAACAAACAGGTAATAAATCTGTGGATTTTTAAAAAATATTAATTGGGGAGTCACACAAATAGGCTATATGAGATACGAATTGGAGAGATTTGCTTAAGAGAAATAGAATAAAGTATCACTTCCATTAACTGGAAATCGTGCAAAAGTTGATAGAAAGCTACAAATTGGATGTAATTTTTATAAATGAATTTTCCTCAACCTAACCAAGTTGTGGATTTCACATACAAACTAAGTTTTTCAACTAAGAAAGGTCTAAAATGTTGTGATCTGTCTTTGCATAAATATAAAACATCCTTTGAACTCAGTAAAAAAAAAATTTCAACCTTTTAAAATACTTTTTCTTTGTTCTTAAATATAATGTGGGACAGGATTTTCTTAGACACAAATATGTAGTGTCAATATATTATGCGCCTTATTCAAAATAAACTACAAGGCAGCAGTTGTTTGATTTTGGAATTTTCCCTCCTAGAACGTTGCTGTCCCCAGCTATCAAGCCATATTCCTAGGGGTTTGAACTCAACTAAGCAGCCATGAGCTTTATCATGAGCCAGATAAAAACAACCCCCTTTTTTAAAAAAAAAAAATCAACTGTGTTAACCAAGTAACAGTAGGCATACAGTATGATACAGATTTATTATTGAGTAAATGACAGGCATTGTATGACAGTTTATAATAAGTCAAATATTGATTACAGATAACTACTAACCTCTTTGACTCATTCGACAAATAGTCAGCATACATCTTAACTGCCTGCAGCTCAGGTGAGCTTGAACTCTTTATCTCATCCAAGACAACTCCGTATTTCCTCTGGGCAATATAAGCCCGGTACATAAGAACATCTCGTTCAACTTTTAGTTCTGGTGTGCCCAACTAAGTAAAAACAATAACAGAATCTTCTTAAAAAATAAAAAAAAGGTGTTTAGATTAATAGTATTAAACTAAATACAATAATGACTTGGTAATGTCAATGATTATGAAATCAGTTTTGATTAATGAGTAGACACAAAAAAACAAAATATAAAGTTTAATAAAAAATAATGTTTTTAATAATAATGATTCACTAGTGTAAGTATTTTAGCAATGTTTAAAGACGATTTATAAAGGACTAGCATGCCTGTCACCGCGCGTTGACTAGCATGCCTGTCACCGCGCGTTGCTGTGAGGCTAGAAGAAAGTCTGATGAAATTTTTTTGCCAACCGCCCAGGTGTCAGGGACATAGTAGGGCTCTCTCTGGAACCCCAGCTGCACTGCCACAGGGGAGCACTGTACTGACCCTGGCTCAGTTTAATTATCGCATGTCGCGTGCCACTGTGTCAATATTATAGGGTGCTCCTTAAAACTAACATATGCATCTTAGTGCTCACGGGATAGCCCAGGGTGCATTTTAAAAAAAAAATTAATGTAGGTACCATAGTACTCACAGGGGAGCCCAGGGCGCAATGGGTTAACATTAGAAGCATAGTTTAGAAGCTATTTGATTTTAAGTTCACGTTAACACAAGAATAAAAAGAGCTACTTTCACTAAAGCGTCGCTTGCTATATAAATAAAGAAATTAGGTAAAAAATACACATTACTATTCTTGAATAACAGAGCGAATTAGAAATGGGTAATTCCGATTACTAAAATTGACAAAGCTTCAAAATCATTGGTTTTATCCTTCTACCCTTAATGAAAACAAAACTGCGCCGCCATCTTAGTAAATCGCTTCGAGAGCTTGCGCTGTGAGATAATATAAACAAACAAACCTGGAAGCCATGAATCAAAATGCCTAATTTTAGATACCAATGTCACATAAAATAGGGGCCAAGGCTATTCCCAGCCGGTTGGGAATATTGAGTTAGGGCCTAGGATGGTTTAAGTTTAATTTAGCTTTTAGGCTCATATCTGAAATATCTGCTACGTAAGTACTAGACTAATAAATCTAGTACCTAAATAATATTATTTATTAGGTTGAAGTATGAAATTTTAAACGAAGTGACTACTCGGAAGAAGATTTTTCTCCCCAACGTCTCTACTTAGTCTGCAAAAGATAGCTCTGCACATGCACAGTGACCTATGGCTAGGGTTAGGATTAGGGTTTGGGATAGGGTTAAGCTAGGGAAATGATTAGGGTTGGTGTTAGGCGTTAGGGTTCTGTTGTAAACACACGCATGCGCAGTACCATCAAAAACATCGCCGCGATGGCAAGTCGTAGTTTCTCTCCATTGCGCATGCGAATCTTATTCCGGCTAGCATTGGCCAATTTTAAAATCAAATATTCTGTTATTTCACATAAATCATGTTTATTGTTTAGGCTACGTCTACGTTTTGGATAATTTTTAAATCCCTTTTTTTCTTGGCATCTGAGTAAGCTAGATAATTAAAAGTGGTCTCTAATGGTCTGTTAAAGGGTATGGCTTGTCATGGTATAGATCTATGTGAAAAAAAACAATATTTGAATTTGATTTTAAAATTCTGAAATAAATTCAAGCTAAAATGGACACCAGCAAGAAAAGTCTCAAAGGTATTTGAGAGGTGTATAAATTAATTTAAAAATCTTGCACAGCGTAGTTACAATTAATATGTTTATAAAATCCTGTATGTCTGGTTTTTTTCGGACTTTACTAAAGATTGGATGTATTTGATGTTTATAATATTTTCGGTAACTAAATAAAAATTTAAAAAAAAAGCAAAAACAATTTGGTTTTCACGTGTAATGGCGACATAAACAATGGCATCCTGTTATTCGATAGGCCGCCATTGATTTTATTGTACACATTGTAAGCTAAAAATAGAAAACTAGGTCATGGTGTTTTAAATTTGCATTGTTATTTAAAAACTTGATCTGCAAAGTTTTGTAAACAAATAGTTATCGATCACTAAGTTACTGTACAGCCAATCAATATTTGTCTTACGAAAGTGAAACATCAGGATATAACTTAGGCTTGATGAAAATAAATAGAAATGTAGTAGGTTTAATTATGGATTTTTTTAAATTAAATATTCTGTTATTTCAAATACACCATTAAGTTCCTTACCCCTTAAGAGAACATTTGACACCACATTTAAATATCTAGCTTAATCGGTTGACGAGAAAAGAGAGAATTTAAAATTTTTCCGAGAATGGAAAATGAAAGTCAGAACATCGTTTTTGCTCCTCGACCGGCATAACATGACGTCGTGGACTTGTGTGCACGAGCTTTTAATTCCCGCCATGGTAATTGCGTCAGCTTAGGTTATTTACTCACCGGAAAATAACAAAAAGCAACTGGTTGATAATAAAACTAGATCTAGAGAAATCTAGTTATTTTATTATTTATTAAATTCTACTCTACATGTTATTCATACCATTTTATGAAGTAATGAACACCTGCATAAATCAAACGACCATAATAAATATTTTTATTTCAAATTCTAATTTTAAATAATATGCATAAAATAATATGATAGTAATAGTTAAGAGTTAAGATAGTTTATAAATACAAATACATTTTACACTCAATCACATTATATTGAGTCAACAGTGTGGCAGCTGAGGTTCATACATGAGTATTAGTGTCTTTTTTTTTTTTTACATTACAATTTTTTTCATCTTGAAAACATGACGTATGTGATTTTTTTTTTTAAAATAAAATCTCCAAACATCGTCACTCGCGTGATTGCTTGCTTATGTTTACTATCCTGTGGATGAAAAATCCCACCACGGTCGCGGGGTCACCGTGACTGCAGCAGGCCTATAGTACACGTCATAGAATGAACACGCGTACACGAGATGGTCGGTGTCTTCACTTCTCTCTCTCTCTCCCCCCCCCCCACCCTTCTTCAAGCTAATTGAAAAACAGACCTATTTCCCTTCTGGTCATTTTTTTTTTTAAAGCTCGGTCATTTTTTTTTAAAGTTCGCATATCAGCCAGCTGTATAAAAAAAAAAAAATTTTTTTAACTAGCTTAAAAAAATAAATAAATAAACGCTTAAAATGCCCGTAAACAGATTATTTAGCGCCCAAAAAAAAAAGGCAGCTGAACGAGCATTTTTTAAAATACGCAGCAATGAAAAAGGCTAACGGCCAATCAATTAAGTCTAAAAATCGCCCGTAATTAGGCCTAGCGCTGAAAAAGGCCACTGAACGAGCATCACTGATTATATAAACGAATAGGCCACGCGGCGTTGACGAGGTTAACCACCGGTCACGAATGCAGCAACGGTCGGCCCACAGTGAAGAAAAAATCAATATACTAATAAAATTACTAATACAATAATAATGTCCATAATTTTACTTTTTCCGCACATGCTACAATTGAATAATATTTAATAATAATTAAAATACTAGACTTAACAGTTCATTCCGTAAAAAACAAAAACTAGTTGTTTCAGTCTGGCAACTAGCGTAACAATGACGTCACGATACTAAAAATAGCGGATAGAAATGTCAGCGTGGGTACCTCATTTTGGAATTAGATTGTGGAAAGTAGAATCGATAATACTGTAAATATACATGGTAATTATCTCAATTATATAGTAATTTAGTGTTATCAGAGCCGTTTTCCCCGTTATTGGGTCGTTTTTGGCCGCGGTTCAGTTTTTACGGAGAGTGCTCCACTAGAAATCCTCTCATTATTTACAAACACGATTCTCGCGATTTTTTCTGGCATTCTAAGTCATATTATCCATTTTATTAGCATTTTGTGTTAAAATAATGATGAGAATTGGCGAGATAAACAGTTCTTTAATTTGTCGTGGATAGGACCCCTAAAATAAACGTAGAAACCGTCAGAAAACGACGCGTGACGTTTCAGGGTCAGAGGTCAATCCAGCCATCTAAGTGACGAACCGGCCTAAAATGTAGCCTTAAACTTAGGAATGTTGGGATATTTTTCCTAATTACCATAGAATGATAAAATGTACACAGATTAATCCTATAATATACCCCATTGATAAAAATACCAAATTTATCCTTCTAGGCCTAATAGTTTTTTTTATATGAATTTTTAAAGTTATGTATTAAACCTGTTATATATCACTGTAACATCGGATTTAATTGTGTGATTGGCTTTAGGCTTGCATACCACTGCTGCTATTCGAGATATAATTATAAAACTTTGCACATTAGTGCTAGAGAGTGTGGGCAATAGAAATATGAAAGTAAAATCAAAATTTGATGAAGGATAATTAGAACTAATCAAGTCAAATTAAAGTGAGGGGTCCTGTTCTATATAGGTCAATATGCAGACTGAAAGTCTATGTTTTTTTTTTTAATATTAAAATTGAAACTTTGCTAGAGGGTGGGGGAAATAAAAATATAGAAAAAAATTATATTAAGTATGACTGCATATAATTAAAAAGTCCTATGAAAGGGTGTTGCACCCTTTTATAGTAATTATAGTGACTGCAACGGACGTATGTCCAGAATGTTACTATAATAGATAGGATACATTTTGGTTATTGATACTGAAGCATGTAATAAGAAGAATGCTGAAAAATAAAACTAGGGATGGTGTGTTAAAGCACTCAACTACTAACATGCAAGTCTTAAGTCCAGATCTCAGACGAGTCTGTCTGTGCAGCGTGCAGCATCCACCAAGCTCAGATGAGTACCTGACCCAAGGGAAAGTAAAGATAGCTTGGCAGAGAGCTAACCACACCATCACTTCATGTGCATGGGTCAAGAAACAAACTCTACTTCAGCTGCTTTATGGATGATGGATTGACAGGTCCAAAAGGGAAACTACTTTAATATACTAGGGCCTTTATAAGACCCTATTGATATTTTGGTACAACTAAATTACTAATCAATAGAAAAACCTTAAATTCTTGTAAAAGTTTATTAAGCTAAGTGTTAATTTGTACCAAATCAGAAGTTACAGCTTCCCTGTCTATCTGCTTATATGAATATATATATTGGCAACATGCAGTCATTTAAATCTGTATTGTTTGTTGTTATTTGTTTTTTGTTACTTTTTATTATTAAATGTAAAAATTGGTATCCTAAATTATTATGAATAATAATTATCATGCCTTTTTCATGTCATTCTAAATTCACTGCCTTATTAATTAGTACCCCCCCCCCATGTCAATTGCTGCACCTTTTGTTAATTATTTACTAATGTCATAAGCATAGGCCTAATTATTACAAATAATTAAATAAGTTTATCACCAAGCTTCTTTACTTATCATAATTAATAATAGGCCCAGACTTACTTTATCAATTGATACATATAGATCTAGTATATAGCATTAGTTATACTAAGAAATAGGCCTATACTATAACTTATTTATAGTATAAAGTATAATAGTAAATATTAAAGGCTATTAGTATTAGCCTTAAATCTAAGTAAGTAGGTATGTGTGAAATGCTTAACACTATTTAATGTAAGCCTAAGCTTCTTGCATGTCGGTTTTAATAGATAACTTGATAAACGTATTTTATCTAGTTTTAACAGTGCCACCCACAATTTAAATTCTTTCCAACTTCGAAAACTACGTCATTGGCATTAGTGCGCGTATTTTATCGATAATAGGTAATGCGGTGCTAAACCGACGCCATGGCGTTGTCAAGGCCGAAGCGCTAGCTCGGGGATTTGACATGTATGATAACTCGTAAGCAGAAGTAGTAAGTGCCATAAAACCGTTATTATAATAATATTTGTTTATTTAATGGACACTTACAACTAATGGCAAGACACTTATAAAAGGTTTAATATGTAAACTTAGTTAAAATGTGACAGCACCGTACGGGACATGTTCGCGAGATAAACTCATTAGAATCGTGCGATCGATTTCGGCTTAAAGATTGTCATAATGGCGGTAATTTTCTAATTGAAACATATAATACGACTACACTAGAATATCTATATCGAATATTTCTAAAAACTCGATTCCAACAGTGAGATTCGGCATTCTTCGGAAAAGGGCGAGTTTTTATAAAGACTGCATCGAAAAGTCCGGATGTTGAATACCGAATCGAAACAGCGGAATGTGACAGCACCGTACGGGACATGTTCGCGAGATAAACTCATTAGAATCGTGCGATCGATTTCGGCTTAAAGATTGTCATAATGGCGGTAATTTTCTAATTGAAACATATAATACGACTACACTAGAATATCTATATCGAATATTTCTAAAAACTCGATTCCAACAGTGAGATTCGGCATTCTTCGGAAAAGGGCGAGTTTTTATAAAGACTGCATCGAAAAGTCCGGATGTTGAATACCGAATCGAAACAGCGGAAGTCGGAATGCCTACTTAAACTCAACAAATTATTTTCAAGTTCTCTGGATTTGCAACTTTTATAGCATTTATTCTAAAAATATAGGGCCTAAAATTTCTAAATTAATTTTAGGCTTAAGTTTTTATTTTTTATTACGGTCTAAATCTAAAAAGGACGTTTTTATTCCATGTCAACAACATTATGGAAGGAATCTCGTCAACTCGCTCGCCTCCATTAAAAAATTCCCCCCCCCCCCCCCCCCCCCCCCCCCGATTTATTAGGCCTACACAACAACACATTGATCACGCTTCAATTAAACGATTTTAAATTCCAGTCTACTCTAGAAAACACAGTTGGAAAAGCAAATTATTACGTTTAACTTTGGGGCTTCATTAACACATTGTTGATAATTTCCAGTTAAAAAAGCAGTTCTAATATCAAAAAGCTGATCAACAGTTTGATTCGCCATTTTGTTGTTTAGATCTGCGCATGTGCAATTGACGTGGAATATAGGCCTACAACAACATCCGTATAATTTGTTGTTGCATGGGGATATCTATTTTAATCCAAAATTATATGGGCCATCATTCATCAGAAACCTATGATCAAGTCACACTGAAACACATCTTTATAATAATAATATCAATGTTGTAGACATCGAGTTCTGTGATTCTTTCAGACTTTTTTCTCCGGGGGGAGGGGGGCTGACACTATTTAAGCTATATATTTTCTATATAAATTCAGAGGCGTAGCTACGGGAGGGCGGGGAGGGCGGCCGCCCCGGGCGCCGACCCTAAGGGGGCGCCAAAAGGGCTAGAAAAAAATATTTACAAGCTCATTTTAAGCTGCAGTTTTGAATTATAAACAGTCAAAGTAAAGAAATTTAACGGCTGAGAGCCTTTTCATACTGATTTAACTGTTTTCTACCTTGATTGAGTAACTGTAAAAGGTATATCCTTAAGAAACAGTGACCAGAAAAACTGCTTTCCAGCTTTCCTAGATGGGGTTGGGGGGGGGGGGGGGGGCGCTTTTTCGAAGTCTAAAATCAGAAAAATTAAGGAATAAATAACTCTTATTACTCAGAAAAGAACCCATGGAACTAAAGCGTATTTTACAATTGTGTAACATAAAAACAAGAGTTAGTGACGTTTAAAATCCGCTCTACCATTTTTGTCCAAGATGGTGGGGCACTTTTTCACCTACAAAAATCGCAGGATTTGTACTGGATCGTTTACTAGATAACTAGATAACACTAAGAAAAGAAATGTTTTTTCCTCTAGCTTGTTTCATTATACAATCAACCAGTCAACGAAATACCCATATGGTATTCCAATGTGAACAATAATTTGCTATTGTATGTTAATTGTATGATCTTAATCTAACAAACTTATAATCCAAATATATACTATGTCATACAAGAGACTGTTCCAAAGATAAAACATAAAAAGACTGTGCTAAACAAATTAGCACCGCTACAATTTTTTTTCTGACATTACTAATCATCATCTTTAAAGGATAATGCATCTTAAGAGGAATTTAATTGGCGTTGAGTTAAGTTTTAGGGAACGACAATCATACAGCGTAACTATTAATTTTTTTTCAAGACTGTCGCACACACATACACATACACACACATATATATATATATATATATATATATATATATATATATATATATATATATATGGCGTGGCGCCAAACTGAATGTTCGCCCCGGGCGCCAGGAGGGGTCGCTACGCCTCTGTATAAATTCCATTTTGCCCCCCCCCCCCCCGAAGAGATGCCTGGAAGAAACTCTGCCTAGTTATAGAATATAATTTAATAACTTATAGGCCCTATATCATGGGTTCCCAACCTGGGGGTCGCGACCCCCATGGGGGTCGCGAAGGGCTTTCTGGGGGGTCGCCAACTGGTAGACTAAACTCTAGAAATGAATAAAAAAACATAAATATTTAGAAAAATATTTGAAATTCGGCATTACTAACATCACTGGAAATGGAATAGAGAATAAACAATTTGTACTGTGCAAAGGTGTTCTTAGTCAGGAGTCTATGAAAACTTCCAAACGTCAATTTGAGACGAGTCATTCGGAACACACCAAAAAGATATGTAGTTCTTTCGTCGGCATGAAGCTAGTTGCAAACGTCAGAGATTTGATCGAACAGAACGTTTTCACCAAGAAAACACAGCATTAGTGCAATCATCATATGAAGTAGTATTAGAAATTGCACAGCAAAAAACCTCTCACACGAAGGAGAAAATCTCATCAAACCATGTATGCTGAAGATGGTAAAATTAATTCTTGGGGATTCCAGTGCAGTAAAGATGCAACAAATATCTCTGTCTAATAATACTATGCAGCGGCTTATGTTAAAAGACAAATTTAGAATGAAATCAAGCTTTCACCCATTGTTTGATTTTCAAGTTGACGAATCGACAGACGTGAGTTCGTGTTGGTTCGCAGTTGCTTGTCTTTGTTAAATATATTCATTCAGATGTTAGCAAATAAGAGTTGATGTTTTGTGAAGATATCCTGGAGAAAATAAATACGTTTTTTGAAACTGGAGGATTAAAGTGGGAAAACGGCTGTGGGGCTTGTACGGATGGTGCGTCATGTTTCAGTACGCTGGCTGTCAATAGGAAATGTCCATCGTGTTTTTGAATTGAAAGATGAAATCAAGATGTTCTTGGAAGTGCAAGGAAACAAGACCTTTTGATATACTTTAACGACATGGTGTGGTTGGAGAGAGTATCATACCTAGCAGATATATTCGAACATCAACATAAGTTTAACCTGATAAAGGAACGAATATTATCTCTTTTCATGATAATCTCTTGGCATTTTTATCAAAGCTACAAAATTGGCGAGGAAAAATAAATATTTGAAATACTGCCATGTTTGAGAAACTCTGCAGTGTGGTGTGATAGATAAATTTTTAAAGGATTCTGTGCATCTTGAATCTCTTGACAACGAACTGCGGCGTTATTTTCCCCGAGCTGAAAGAAGAAGAATCTGCATTGATTCGTTACCCAATCTCTGCTTTCCTTGATGTTACCAGCATTGCCGATGAATAACAAGATGAATTCTTAAATTTGCAAAATTTAATTGTTAATGCTAGTTAATGCTTGTTAATAGGATGTAATTTTGCTCATCGTATTAAAACAGTTATCAAGAATAATTCATATTGAAAGTCTACTAGTAAATACTAATTTAGTGCTTATTATTTTCTTTACTAAGTTCGACTTGTTAATTATATGGGGGTCGCGGGTCACTTAAGTTTTATTAAAGGGGGTCTCCACTCGAAAAAGGTTGGGAACCACTGCCCTATATAGATCGATAAACTGTTAAAATTGAACAATCACAATTAATATCTCAAAATAAGGCGATGGTCCAAAAATTATATGTCATCATACGAAGACAGTCACGTTTTTTTGCCGATGTTCACGTCCAAAAAAATTATACCACACATAAGCCGGGAGTTTTTTTAGCGCAATTTCCATACTGACAATCTATATATATAATTCTCTTCTTCGAGCCGTTAGAAAACAAGCTGCAAACGCTCTCCCTACCTCCCCACCCCTACATGGTTTTAGTGAGCTGTGTTCACTCTAAATGTTTACAAGCAGAGCCAACGATTTTAAACGTAGGGGGGGGGGGGGGAGGAGGGAAGGAAGGGGGGGGGGGTTATGGTCCTTAACGAGCTACTTATAGTGTTTTAAAGAAATATTTTCAGTGTCAGCGTTGGTACTGTCGAATTCACAAATTATGAATTATTGAAAATTAGAAACAACTAAATAGCGGCGTATGTTATGCCGCGGGCCGGCTCGTTGCGATTATTAGCGCAATTTCCATACTGACAATTGCGATTATTAATTCGTTCTGGATGGATGTGTGTCCGCAGCTTTAAGTCGTATCTCCTCCTCAACGAAGCAATATCGAGGACTAGTTCCAAAAGCAAATATGTTAAGCAAGTTCCGAGGATGATTGTGGGCCAAAAAAATTCCCGGAATTCCTTCCTGGATTTCCCGGAAAAGCCAAAAAAACCTCGAAAAAATGCGACTTGAAACATTTACCAATCGATTCCTGCCATAATTTAGAACAATATTGCCGAAGAAAGTTTTCAAAAATATCCTTTCGTTCGGTCACAAAAAATTAATTAAGGAAATTGCGCTTAAATTATCACTAGACTTTTTATTAACTTGTTTTTAAATTTGTACTCATCATCACAAAGGTCTGAACTCTTCCCTGCCACCAGAGTGAAATATCTGATTTATGTGCGCGTGCCGATTACTTGTATTGTCTTTGTTTTTGTAATGTTATTTATTATATTTAATCAAGTTCATTAGGCCTTAATTTAGTAATTAGTTATATTTTTCTTAAATCTTCAAAATTAATATTAGCCAAAATTATATGGTCCAATAGACTTATATTAGGCTATTTTTTTAATAGTATTAACAGTAATGTTCACAATATTTTTTTTTGGAGTAAATAATCTACAGAAAAAAGTTGATCAGGTATTACACTTTACTGCATTCATCAGTTAGAGCCAAACAAATGTTAAGCTCTTATAAATTTTGACCATTGAAGTTAGTGGGGTCATTGCATGTTATTCATTATTAATATTATATTCAGGGTTGTGGGAAATTTTATATCTTATTAATCTAAAACATTCTAATCTAACCTAAGACAAGGAGTTTTATTTTAAAGGTCACCTCATTTATATTATAAGCTTATACTTTATTTTGTAGATTATAGATCTACATTCATGTTATTCTAATCATTTAAACATCAATGATTTATCAGGTTCATACTTCATTAATAATAATAAGTAGAAATATTTAGTAGTCAGATGCATTTGATGAAAATTAAATTGTTAAATGTCTAGGATAAAAAGCTAGCTATATCAGGGATTAGTATACAGTTTTAAATTGTAATTTTCATAATTTACACTGTACATTCTGATGCAATATAAGGTCTGTTATCATGTCTATGTTAAAATTATATATAATCAAGGTGGAGCTCGGAGTGTCTTAATACAAATTAATCCATTTCTAATCCATCAATTACATCATAACACGACCGCTAATAAAAATTCGATAACATTTGACAAATAACTATGTTTTAGAGCCATACCAAAGCATTTTATTTGGTCTTACAATAAAATTGCTGCACTAGAACTGGATACGAAACAAAACACCCGTATCCAATGACACGTAATATTGGCTTGGTAGATGTCAATGTGCGCCTGAAACCTACCAGAAAGAGATATGTAATGCAGATTTAGGGAGACTGATACGCTCCTCATAGTCAACTTACAAACCTCTTTATTTGTAGATTTTTAAACTGAGATTTCTAACATGAGCTGATCCGACACTGTCTACAGTTATATTCATTCATATTACAATTTATTGTCTTTAAGATGATAAAGTATACATTCATTATATAATCAAGCTGGAGCTCTAGGGTCTTAATACAAATTAATCCATTTCTTC